CGAAAATCCTGAAGTTGGGTTAAATGCAACTTCCCTCAAAACTCTAGAATCATGTGTAATGTCGTATCATCCAGCCCATACAAATATGAATATTATATTGAAATCACAAATGGCTAAAACATTTTGGTAGCATTGTCCTCTTCCTCTTCCTCTATATCTTGTTTGTTGATCACTAGTCACAACTGCATGTATCAGAGTTCCATCTAGTGCACCTATAGCCCTCTTTAAAAAACATCAACTATAAGAAACATGTATAACAATATAAAAAATGTTTAGAAATTATCAAGTCAATAACATAAATCATACCGGAAATATTTCTTTCAGGTGCCTAAATCTCTCTTATGTGTTTGGTGTTTCGTCAATCGATGTTGGCCCTACTACCTCTCTCACGAATTCTATCATTCCTCTCAATACTTCATGAAAACAATTATGAATAGTCCATGTAGAGTGTTGAAATCTACATTTAATCATTCTTCTCAATACTTCATGAAAACAATTATGAATACTTCATGGATCCATTTACGGAGATCTCATGCAAACAAGACTCGATAAATGTATTCACCACATTTTCTTTTTTCCAGTTAACTCTAGGCTTTTTTGATTGTGAAAATTCGCCAAAATTTGTCATATCTAAAACATTAACCATCATATCATTAACCATCATATCATGATTAGTTAAAAGATGCATATCTTGCAAGTGAAGCTCATTACATCGAAGAATCAATGTAGAAATTTAAGGATCAAAGAGTGTCTTTTGCAGTGGAAACTATCAAATACCAACACACTAAATGCACATTCAGTTTATTAATGTTATTGATTGCAAAACCAACATCAACTTCCTCTAACCATTATACATAAAATAAGTTCATACGCTGAATATAAATGTCTTAGGGGCCCTTCCTTTTGCAATGTAGAATAATCACATGAGCAGTAAAGAAGTTTACAAACATTACTACAATTATCTATGGCAGTAACAAAGTTAGTCATATGACTTTCTTTTAATTATTACAGATGAACTTGAGCATTTCTTTTGGTTAAAACAATCTTCATCGTCATGAACATAATTTAATTATTACAGATGATTTATAAGTATGTATAAACCAATCTGCCCCTTCACGTGCTAATCTGTTCCTTTGTAATATTGGCCATTAGCTTATCAAGATCAGAAATATAGGAGGTTTGCAGCCCCAAGAGGTTATTAATGGCAGCTGTTGAATAGGTAATTAGGGTCTACCTAACCATGAGTTCAACACCCTCAATGACTAAAATTTCTTGTTAAAAATCCTTGACCAAGTTAATAGTAGGCAAAGAACATGGGGCATGAATTTTTAACAAGAAATATATAGGAGCCCCTAAGTTTTCGGGTAAATGTTTAGTAAATGGGCCTAAATTTGACATCATAAGTGCGTGTCGTTTTGGGGTCAAAAGAATAACGTTCATATATGCTGTCACACGTGTTCTATACTTAATGGGATGGTATTTTTCCAAACTGAAGGCCAAAATCCAGTCCTGAAACTTTCAGAAGTAACATCATGCTGGAAGGGTAAATGGTAAACCAAAGTTAAAGATAGGGTAAGAAGCCTTAAAACACCTAAATGGTTTGAGTTAAGGTGCAATATTCTCAAACACCATTTACATCAAATCGAATGTAACATATCTTTTCTTTGTGTAGTATAACATAATTGATAGTTAAATAGGTTATAATTAATCAGAAATTTTGTATCAACAAACAACCTGAACAATAAATATAAGTAAAGTGGAAAAAACCAGAGTTTGATTTTGCCTCTGTGAATCCTTATGACAACGTGAATTCTTATGGTGAGCTCATTTCAAATGTTCCAAACAACTATCACTGGAAATTAAACTTAAGCGTAAGAAATATAACAGAAATTTCCATGATTAGGCAAAAATATGAAGTTCACTTTTTTATTTATTATTGCTTTGGTTTTACAAGGCCTCTTGAAAGTTAAAAAGAGATAAGTCAGAAGCAAGTTGAACCTTAACCTAATTATCTCTAAAGTAGAAGTGAAATCTATAGCAACAAGAGATGAAATCGATAGCAACAATAGATAAAATCGATGGCAACAATAGATGAAATCATACATGAAATTGACAACAACAAGAGATGAAATCGATTGCAACAATGAATGAATCGACAACAACAAGGGATGAAATCGACAGAAGGTGATGTCGATTACTGTAGGTCAATTACTGTAGGGAAGGCGATGACTAATGATATGAGGAAGGCAATAGAAATAGGGAGGGGTGAGGATAAAATCAGAAAAAATCAAGGAGATGATATGCTGATCATGATCAGCGTTGACTTTGTTGCTGACCGAATCAAGTCTAGAAAGAGGAACGGTCAGACGTGTTTAATGAAAAAGGGGATAAGTAAACAACCAACCTCTTAATATGGTAAGAGATTTTTATTGGGTAAGAGGTAATAAGGGCCAAGTAAACAGCCCCTTAATCATAACATACTTTAGCAATATTGAATTCAAAGTACATATCAATAGCATAATAATTAATCATTTATAATTGATAACGAACTTACAGATACTATTTTTTGGTTATCTATAATCATACTATATTATAAAGCATTTGACAAAAACTTTTAAAAACTATTTTTTATGCATGAATTATTGTATATTGATGCTATTACTTAAAATTCAAGATTACAAGTAAATTATGCAGAAGTACAACTTATTAAAACTCCAAGTTTGAATTCCTGTAACTAATGGTGGATAAACATAATCATGTTGATCCTAGATCTCTCAATAACACTAATAATCTAGTTATGAATAACCAAATTATAGTGATTTTACGAAGAAAGTTATGAAGACTCAAGATTAAAATAAGAACATTCAAGAACAAACTTGAGCTTCAAAGGTTTTTCTTTATTACTCGCACTTATTTACAATAGACCTAGTCGTCTATTTATACTAGATAGCTAATGCTAAGATAACTATCTRTTGCTACTTTCTAGCAAATAGTCTAGCTAATAGATAAAATTTATCTTTTACATGGATAAGCATTATTAAAAAGATAAACTATAAATCCAGCTGTTGATTTGTCATCTCCATCTATCATTATTCATGTGAAGATTTCATCTTTATCTTCAAGTCTTCATTGCACGCTTGGATGAATAATTAGAAAATCTTCTAAGTGTTAGTCTGTCCATCGTATCAATGAAAATACTTTCCATCGCATCATCCATCGGTCCGCTGGTTGAACTTCGTCCATCGGTCCAATGGTTGGTCTTTCCATCGATGCTCTGGWTAGTCTTTCCATCGATCCAGACTTAGTCGATTCTGCCTTGATGTCTCCATTGGTCTTCTGGTTCTTTATCACTTATTGTTTTTCATTACTTTTTACATTTTGCATTATGGGTTCTTACAAATCAAATAGAGGATAAACATCTCATTTTAAAATATAAAAAATCTAAAATATAATTTGGATAATTATAGAGTTCTAACAAATTAATTAATTGTTATCTTTATAAAAAAATTATTATTAAATCAAAAATAAATTACTTCGTTATTAAATCTAAATTAAATTATAATAGAAAAATTGAATTAATGGAATTTACACAAAAACCAGAACTTTTAAACAGTTAATTTGATATATTTATTTTTGAAATTTTATGATATCTTCCAATTTATATCTTATTTAAAAATAAAATCATTATCCATTTCTCAAAACCACATAAACACCGTAGTAAAACATCTACAGAGACGGAATAAAACGAAACATTAAAATCGAAATATATCTCGCTGCATTGTGCGAGTACCCTTCTAGTATATTATAAAGTATTTGACAAAAACTCTTAAAAACCATTTTTTTTATGCATGAAGTACTGTTTATTGATGCGTATTACTTAAAATTCAAGATTACAAGTTGATTGTACGTAAGTACAACTTATTAAAGCTTCATGTTTGAATTCGTATAACTAACT